GTTATAGTAGTCGCAGTAGTAGTACAAATGCATAGCGTTGAATACACTTTTTAGTGTTACATTTAACAGTAGAATTAGATGGAACTCTTGTTGTGATAGTGCTGCTGTTCTAGCTGAACGTGAGTGAAGTTATTGGGGAGCGGTTAATCTGCGTTCTCAGTAGATTTGTTTGAAATTCCATTCATTTCTTCATTCTGACACACTGTATACTACTGTGTCAGGAATAAATCCTCAAAGGCAGAATTAAGTAACTATCGGTCTAAATTAGATTAATAACTAAGTTAGTTGTAGCTAGATTATAGTTATGCCCACTCAGTGTGCAGCGTCCAGCCTGAGCTGATTTTATAGTCTTATGTTGGATTATAAGCCACAATATCTGGCAGGTAAAGCAAATCTTTTAACTACAGAACAAAAAAGGTACAATATATAGCCGTCTTTGGCTGGTAGTTTGAGACCCCTGCTCTAGAGGAACACAGAATCAATGGTGCACTGGAGAGCTAGGACTGACGCTCAGCATCGTTGTGAGTGGGCACTGCATAGGCTTTATTATGCCATCCAAATGAATACGAAATGTTTTAGTGCAAAACAGCAGTTCTAGACTCAGTGGATTAACCTATGATTAAGTCTTGGGTGATTACTCTTGTTTCGGTATATTATTTAAATGTACTTTACATAATTTACATACTTAATTACACAATTAATTACGTCTGCTGTTGATTTAAATTCTGTACTGACACGTTAGAGTCTGATGTTTTCTGCTTCTGTTTTCTGTTTTTCAGTAACAAGACATAACAAAAAGTTAACAAATGTGAAACAAGGCTGTTCATGATAAAATCTCTCATCTACTATATCAACACAAATGTAGTATGAATGGAAGGCTTAGGATCTGCACTCGTTTCATTGAGCGATGTGTAAAAAGTTATATACAACGTGCTTTTGTTATCACAGACGCTAACCGCAACGTCTAAGAGCAGAGATCCATTCATGTAGGATCTTTTAACAGTTTAATTCCTCTCCTCCTGATGGCCTGAAGGTACACTATGGGCTGGTTTCCCAGACATGAATTAAGTGTAATCTTTGACTGAATTGCAGCGTCAGTGGTGAATCACCAGTTCACCAGTGGAAATTCCTTTTTAACCCGCGACGAGACTTAATCCATGTCTGGGAAACTGGTGCTGTACGTCCAAGAGCATCCAAACAGTCTTCAAATTAGTGAGTTCAGCTACTTCAAATCTGTCAAACTGAACGTAGTTGGTATGCGTGCTTGTCCGTATTGATCATAATAAAATGGATTAGCATGTGAAATTGGAGATTTCTGTATGTGCTGCTGTGGTTTTTGTCACTGTGTAAAAATGTGAAAGTTTTCATTTATGTTTGGATGAACGTTTGGAGTACAATTCACTCTGTTCCCGTTTAATCAGAGTAACGGTAGAACACAACTGATGAGTAAATTCAAAGCTCATTCATTTGTCTTTGCTTGATCTAAAACACAAACACAATAAAAGTCTGGCTTTCTTTGATCACATTTTTTACATATCAAACAGATCCAACCCCAGCATACATTAATAAATCACTCAGAACACACTGGTAGATGCTGAGGCTGTATACTGTGTAAGATAAGGTTTGGTAGCTGAACGATGGCCGAACATTCTGGATGCGGAAGTGTGTTAAGTGCAGGTTCCTCCTGTCTGACTACAGTGAAGGATTTCTACAGGAATGTAGGCCTGGAGGCTGTTACACACATGGAGGGCTGAGCTCTACTGTGGTTCAGAGGCGCTACAGACCAGCTCCAGCCTGCATGGCCCAGTATACACCTATATAGAGGCAGCACATGAACTCCTACTGCTGTGTCCTATTACATACATTATTAGGCCCCTTTTGAACAGATGTAATTCTATAGCATTAAGTCATGCCATGTGAAAGATGTTTTGAATGGGGCAGTAGGTTATGTAATATCAGAGGTTTGGTCAAACTTGTTTCCATTAGAAGTCTCAGGTATCATTGCCTGTAACAAAACAATGTTCATAGTTTCTCACAAACAGGGAGATTCTGTCGAAAGTGTTCTGAACTTTGAATGAACAGAAATCTAACAGAACAGTATCTATTATTGTGTGTACAGTCTTTGCATTGCTTAAAGAAAAACAACCCTTTAGATTTTTCGCATATTTGTGTCACTCTTTATCATCAAAACAAGCATAGAAAGTCTGAAGTGTAGACTCAAACTTGTTTTATGGAATGCCAATGTAATTAATAATGCAACTAACCATATAATTAATTATGTGATAATGTAATTACATTTAAATACCAGAGCAAAACTACCACAATAACTCAAGGTCAGAGGTTGGCACTGCTTGCAGCTGTTACTGTTCTGTTGCAGCTCCACAAAAGGCAAAAATAAAATAATCCTCCTTTGCAGTAAAAAAAGCTCTGCTGATCGTTCAACACAGTTTGTAGTAATAAATATCTTAAATGCACCACCCTATAACCCTGAAGGTCGGTGTGCAGACTGTCACCATAGCAATACAGACAACAATCTGGCCTAGCTAGTAGCTGATGAAAAGGCTTTTTTTAAGATTTAACACGAATTTCGGTAATTTCGAGAAGAATGGACATGCATTCATAACACTAAAGCTGTCAAACACTAAAAAGTGGCAAAGCTGTGGTCAGCTTCTCATTCAGCAGCTTCTTGTTCTAATTTTCCTGTCCTTGAGCCATAATGTAACTGCTGCACCATTTAAGGTGGAGCGAGAACGTTCAAAGAAGAAGTTGGCGAATGAGAAGCTGATTTCAGCTTCGTAAAACGTCAAACGTTGAGAGACGTTTTACAAGAAACTGTTGTACTTTTAAGTTTCCTGCCAGAGATGCAAGAAAAGTGGCTATAGCTGAGCTAAAGCTTAAAGCAGAGCAAAGTGAGTCTGCATGTACGTTTATATTGTATTTTTTACGTCAGCACACACTGAGACATATATTACAGCCAAGATGGTAAAATGGACGTAAAATGTTGTGGCTCCTAAGGTGGTTTGATTTTTGTGAAAGGACAAAATGGCTCTTCTTTACATTTGGGTTGCCGACCTCTGACCTAGACTTGAACTTTTTAAGAATTAAAGAGCCTTTACACTGCAAGTTCTTAGTCTCAAGACAGCTTTTGGATTATACAAATGGCCAAAGCATTCTTGAGTGTCGTAAACAGTGCCGTGATCTTTAATCATGTAAACTGTAGGCTTATTTCTCTGTATTATTCAGTGCTATAAATTATTCTGTAACTTCTATGAATTATTCATTAACTTTCATGAATTATTCATTAACAACTACAAGTTATATTCTGTAGCTAATATAAAATGTGTTAAGTCTGTAGTTCTGAGAGAGAGGACTTGAGGTGTGGACCCTCATACAGACCCTCAGAGGTTAAGGAGATAGATAGCCCACTGGTTTTCCTCTCGACTCCAGAACTGTCTCTGAGTGTTCTTAGAAAGATTGGAGCTCAGAGCAGCAAACACTGTGGCACAAGGGGCTTAACGTGGAATTATGTAATTCGTCACTAATGCTTTTGTCATCATTCACCCCAAACGAACCCCAGAGCTTTTAGAGCGTGTTCAGAATGAGCATTTTAGCTGTGTTTTAAGAATTGGAGTATTAATACACTCGACTCAAAAAGGCTTTAAGCTGTGCAGTTGAACAGTCCATAGTTATACATGGTCGCTGCATCTGCACATCCTGCGTATACAGTATTTGTATGTGTCAGGTTTTAGTATTTTCTGCTTGATCTGTAATTTGGGAAGCAGCATTGGCCTGCTGTAGTCTTGTTTAAAGATGTAGACATACGGTTATCTTTTAAAACGGACAGACGTACAGGCAGAATTCAGGGTTCGCAGTGACTCCGACTACTATTTTTAGCTATGCAACATACTTTTGTCCATGTTTGTAGATAACAGTGTGTCAAATAGTGTCAGAAACCACAGAAGTTTAGTCTATTCGAGATCACGATCAGCTCCACGTGGCTTGAGGCAGTGCTGCTGGCACAGTGCTGATTAGTGGGGAGAAGGCTCCCATTTGTTGTTAGCTACATTAATCTCGTAGCTCTGGAGCAAAACTAAAGCAGCAAACTTCAGAGACAAATGTGTCTCGGCTCATTGGCTGTATTTAAAGGGGAGAACTGTGTAAATTTCTGCCAAACTATAGCTTTAATTTTTGCTTGTATAGGTGGCCAATCTTCCTCCTTAAACAAGTTTCCATTCAGACCGTGTTCAGTTGGAGCACCAATGTTGGTTATATAGTACAGAAAATATGTTTTTGCCTTACACTACCGTTCAAAAGTTTAGAATCAATGTTTTCAATGATATATAACCGTTGTAGTTGTAGATAAATGTGTAAAATGATTCTGATATGTTAGTCCTGTGACATCCCGTCCTGTTCGAAGCTCCATATACTGAGGAGCACATTGCACGTTGTTTGGTTCAGATTGCTTCGTCCCAGAGAGAGTTATTCCGGAATATTCAGGGCCTCTTTCGAGTGAATCTCCCTGTGTGTGTGTGTGTGTGTGTGTATATATATATATAGATAGATATATATAGATATATATATATGTGTGTGTGTGTGTGTGTGTATATAATATATACACACACATGTGATAGCTTACTCACTTTTGATGTAAGTCAGTATAACCACAATGTAACCAGACTTCTTTCCATTCATCATGAAATTTACACACAGTGTAAAGGTCAATGTAAAATCTCAGGCTTATTACATTCTAAGGCTTATTATTCAGTAACTACAGAGACCTCAGTGCAAACTGAGCTATTCTCAGATTAGAAGTGTGTAATAAAACTTTGGGCCTGCTGGTGGCCCTGGACATTTAAGTAATTACTATATAAATTATATAGTAATCCATACTATATAAGTTATTAGTGTTATATACAACAACAAAAAAGTGCACTGTGTATGTTTTCATTTTGGACTGTGAAATGAAAGAATCTCTTTCTCTGTATTTCTTGTTTCTCTAGGCGAGCCCTCCTTCTGCTCCTGTCAGTATGTGCCACTGTGCTGTTTGCAGAAGAGCATTCACAGGCTCAAGGTAAGTTCACCTCTCTCTCTCTCTCTCTCTCTCTCTCTGTCTTTCTCTCTCTCTCTCTCTCTCTCTCTCTCTCTCTCTTAACCTATTCACCCTTGACCTTTCCCCTCCTAGGCCTAACCCCAAATTCAAGCTGTTGGCCACTGCTGAGCCTCCCTCTCTGGGACTGTGTGTGTATGTGCTCAGGCGATTCTAACATCCTCCAGCTGCCACTGAAAATCTCTCCTTTGAGCTTTTTTCCTTCAACATGAAAAAAAGCCTGCAGAGGAAAAAAGACGGTTTGGTGAATTTTAAAAAGCTAGCAGGAAATCTGCTCTTGCCCTAAGTGTGTGTAGAAGTGCGCAGGTATACAGATGAAGAAAGTTGGAGAAATGAATAGAAACAAGGGTTGTTCTGTGGGAGCTTTACGACTTTACAGTGTAAACCACGTGCAGCTTTAATCCTGCAGATCAACATCACTAAAGCCATTTAAAGGAATAGTTTGGGGAGAAATCAAACACACACAGTTTTCCACTAAACCCAGATGTGACCCATCCTTCAAGACATGTTTGGTGTCTAATTGGTTCTTCTTTAGTTTAGAACTGGTTAATCGAATGTTTGTAACAAAAACAAGAGCTCAATAGTCACCCAAGTCTTTTCTGTAAATACATCCCAGAAGCTTCTCTCAACATGTTTACAGCTCAAACTGCATCCAGGTCTTATTTAAGGTCACTTGTCGATGTTGTTTAAGACACAGTATGACTCACTGTTAACTGCACAATTTAACAAAACCTTGCCGTGTAGCCGGAAGCTGCCAGCAGCCACCAAGAGTCTAGAATCAGTTTTTCTAACAGTGACAGTCACAAATACAGAGGAATCTGATCCAAGTCTGCTTTGTGACGACCAGCCATGCTGTCTGAAATGGCCACCAATAAACGTGACGTTTTGTTCATGTTTATAGTTCATAAGAACTCGTACTGTGTCCTAAAACACATAGACTGGTCTGCACGACCTTAACAAGACCTGGATGCAGTTTGAGCAGTTTGAGGATGTATTTACAGAAAAGGTTCAAGTAACTGTTGACTTCTAGTGTTTGTTAGCAACACTAGCCTAATAGCGTCAGTGCAGAACTAAAGAGGTGGAAATTAGACCAAACATGTCTGCGCTGATCAACTACATCTGGGGTGAAGGGGAAATTATGTACATTTTTTTTTTTTTGCCAAACCATTTTATCAAATGCTTCATCATCCAAGTTACAGAAGAAGAAAGGGCACCAACAAAGAACGACAAGACTCTAGAGAGGCTGGACTGGTAGGTTGTCTATGTAAGAAAGGCTGCGCACAAGAAGGATAAATCTCTCTCTCTGTCTCTCTGTTTAGACAGCCGTCCTGGCGTGTCCGCTCTTGCTCTGTGAATGCAGCCTCGAGAGCGGCTTCCTATTCCTCCCTTCCAACTCTTTATTCCTCTCTCTCTCCCTGTCAGTCGTCTCATAGAGGAAGAGTTAAAAACTGAGACAGAGGAAGACGCGGGGGGGGGGACGTGAGAAATCAGCAAGTCATCGGAAGGGGGGACAACAAGGAGATGAGAGGAAGGTATGGGGCAGGCCAGGAGAGAAGTAAAGAGAGACGAAAGATGAAAAGGACAGGAAAGAGAAAGATCAAATAGTACGGGAAGGTTTTAACCCCTTGAACCCCAGGCTGGTTCAGTATGTATCAGGGATTATTCTGTATGTATAATAAAACTAAAATTCTGCACGTTCTGTGTTCCTGGAACCACAGACAGACCTGTAGGTCTTAAGGGATTAAGAGTGAGAGGGTGTGTTTTGGTGGTTTGGTGAATCAGATGGTAGTGAAGATAAATGATTGTGTTTGGCGGGTGCAGGACATGGTGTTCCTGTCTTTTTCCTTCTACGAGGGAACAAGTTTCATTGTAATCCGAGGGCCTGAGAAAGGAGATGGACTCTTGCTTTAGTTTACATTTACCTACTGGGCCAAACGTGAGCACCTGTCCAGTCAGATGGCCAACAACTCTCCAGTTTTGCCTGGCCCGGTTGTGGGGGGGTGGGGGAGCCCTTCAGGGCAGGGTGGAGGTGAGGTGGGGGAATGTGCTGTTTATAGTGACCATCACAATTAGACCTCAGGAAGGAAGAAGAAACTGCAGATAATGATAGCAGAGGTGTAGAATCTGTAGTAGGGAAGTCCCAGCTACCTTAATATCACTGGACTGATATTTGTGTTTACATAGATGATACAGCCACACGCTTTAGGTGAGATACGCGCCTCTACTAATTTATACTGAAGTTAAATCACTTTTTTTAGTCTGCTTTGAAAAAAATGACATTTTTATAGTGTGCTTGATAGATAGATTGACCTCCCTGTTAATTTGGGCTACCAGTTACTTTACAGTGCTGCAGTAAAATCCCTTATTTTTGATGTCTGCATATGGTACACATTCTTATGTGCTACTTATGTGAAATATTCCCTGAGTTCCGTATTGCTTTGCCTGCTCCGCTTCTCAGTTTGAAATTTGAAATTGTCTCAGTTTGACAATTAAACGCCAGGATTTAAACAAAAAAAGGCAGATGGGAACCGTCATCAGCAAAACAGAGCATTTCTACAGTAGTTTCCTTTCAAACCAGTTGTGAATTGAGAGTGAAAGATGCACTGTAAACTACAGAAAACAGGCTTGCATTTTACATGCCTATGTGCAGAGAAGAGGAGGCTAATTTAAGCACAGCCAAAACACTGGCAGTATAGATATTACAAATTTCATTTTCCTTTCAAAAAAATCCACACTGCCAATATTTAAAGTGCTTTAACTTCTGAAAATGTGCTCAGTGCGGCAGGTTGTGGAGATGGTGTGTTTGTGGCACCTCCACGACATAACAAGCGAAAAAAGAATCAGAAAAGGCTGAAGATAGCCGATTCCCAATTATAAAAATGTCGATCCTGATTCTCTGAATCAAAAATGCCAAAAAAACGTAGATAGACAGACGGATATTAAAACAAACGCACTGGTCATTCAACATTCGGACCACCAAGTGGTCTTAAAATTAAGATTTTTTTGTCCAGAATAATGGAAACGTGTACTACATCTACATACATTGACATACATTGTATTTACGTTTAACAAGCATTTGTCAGTGCCAAAAGGCTGTTAAGTGGAGCTTTTAGCACAGACCCTATGTCCATTTTTCCCATTTTTTATTATACCAGTAAAACCCAGGCAGGGATGTGAAGGGATCCTAGTTTTTTTTAATGGTATAGTAGTTTTAATGGTATCGTACAGTAGATACAGCCAGATTAGTGTCATTTGTTCCGCCCAGTTCTCTGTCTGTGAGGCTTTGATCAATCAGCCCTGTTTTTCTCCTGCTCTGTTATTGGGATCAGTGAGGATCACAGCACTGTAACAGCTCTCGGGCTGAAAGCTGCGCCGCCCTTTTCTATGTTGTGTTTTCTAAACAAGTCAGGCTTGTTGTGTCTGCCTGTCGTGGAACCAGACAACACGCTCAACAGAACACCACGTTCTTATAAAATGACCACTCAAAGAAGTCTTCTTTGCATTGTTAAATCGTTCTTCAGATTGATGGAGAATGTGTTGTAGATGGTTCTGTACAAAAACCTTTTGAAAAGGGTTCTTTATAGCACCTAAAAGTGTTCTTCTATTGTTACGATGTCAAGCCTGTAACAATAGAAGAACGCTTTTTGTTGCTATGTAGAACCATTTTCAAAAAGGTTATGTATAGATGTAAAACACATTCTCCATTAATCTAAAGAACGCTTTCATGATGCAGAGAACCCTTTAATCATGCAAAGGGTTCTTAGAGTGTTCATGGTTTTATATGCAGCCATTTTCTTTACTAAGGAACCCTGAAAGAAATGTGAAGTGTGTAACCATACAAATTCTTTCTTCCACTTAACTCTGAACTTTCTAATTAGGTTTTTTTTTGTATTTTATATATAATTCGCTGCTGTCGGAAGAAAACCTCATGTCTCCATTTTTGTTGTTTTTTTCAGTTTTTGACATAATTTGGAAATGTCTTTTTCCTTTTACAATTTCATGATGAACGGACCAAAAGAAACAGCCCAGAAAAACTTCTGATTCCATTGACCATAGACGAAACAGGGGTAATGGAAATACATTATGGCGTTTCCTCAGACAGAATGTTCAGGACATCATCACTTACTCAGCACAAGCACATGTCCTGCTGTTCTCATCTTTTCTCACTGTTCAGTTTATTGTGCTTGTAGTTTAGAAAGTTCTGCCTCCAAAAACCTTATTTTAATAGACATGAATTCAGCTTGTATTGAGCAGTGAGCTCAGCTCTGCTGTCGGCCCAGGTCTACAGCTCTTCTAAGTGGAAATGGCTTTTATAGAAGACTGTGATGTTGCCTGTCTTCTCTTTAATGCAGTCCCTGTCTGTGGAGTTGACGCTCCAAGAACTTATTGGTTGTTCCATTTGACCTGTAACTGAGGTTAAAGTTCATGAGGTCGCCCATGTGGGACCTACGTGGATGCTTTGAAGTCTGAGTTGTGGCTGTTAATGTTTAAGATGCTGTCTGGTTTTAAAAGGGCTGTGAATGAACTCAGGAAGAGAACAGAGTATTTATGATGTTGCTATTACAGTAATCGGTAATGACCTGTGTTAAACCTACACTGGACGAGGGAGAAATAAACAGAGGCAGGAGAGGGCGGAGTGCACCAATAAAGCCGGGTGTGGGTTTACTCAGAGCTTTGTCCACCCGCCGGCCCGTAGACTGTAAATTTTTACTCTGGCCTGAAATGACCTCCAAACTCTCTGGCCAAGATGAAGATCACTCTAACTGTAAAGACAGATTTGAGAAGGAGTTGATCTGACGGCAGGTTGGATTTAGCCTTTTGAGCTCCACTTTTCCAGACACAGATTAAGCCTGGTGCTCAAATGTGAAGCATTGTCGAACCACCGTTAGCAGTCCAAAAAGTGAGTTAGCATTTTGGTCTGTGTTTCTGCTAAATCACTAAAACAGGGTGCATTTGGAGAAACAGAAGAAAGAATAGAGGGTGAGAAAGAAAGAAACAGATGTATCTGAGGAAACCAGTGACTGTGGGTCAGTAATGAAAATGTCTTCTCCTGCTGTTAGACCTTAGGGATCCCCACGCCGACATACTGAAGCCACTCAAAAGCTTCACTGTTTCCTGCCTGCTGCCAAAACACAGAGCGACCCACTCCGCTGCTCCGGGACCTGCACTTATACTCACAGCGGTTTCAAAGTAATGGTAGTGATCTTGACCAGTGGTTCCCAACCCTGGTACCAGTACTCCATGCATTTTAGCATTTTCTGTGCCATAGCCCATCTTAGAAAGAGCTTATTAATAAGCTCATTGATTGGAACAGCTGTGTTGGAAATCACCGGAATATGCGAGGCAGGGGTACTCCAGGACCAGGACTGGGAACTACTGATTTAGGATTGGGTTCCAGGTCAATGTGTATTCGTTAGAGTGTAACTTTCTCAGTCTGATTCTAGATTCTAGACTTTTTGAGTTTGTTAAATTTGTTAATCTGAAACTCTGTTCAGAGTTCTGAGATCTTTTTAAATAATAAGGGATCTATCACATATACCTATTTGATCGACTCTCTGAACCATTTAGGAACCCAATCAGCTCTAAAAAGCACTTGAGAAATTCTCTCCCAAACGAATCCTAGTGACAAAGACCTACGTCCTGGGCCACAGTTCTGCGCACTGTGTCATAAAAGTTAGAGGAGCACATGAAATTTGAGTAAAAATCTAGCGTGTTAACAGCATTTAGAATACTTCTTGCTAACTGGGATGTTGGATCTTTGTGAACAAGGCGGGGATCTGATGCTGGATCTTCACTTATGCCAGACTCTGTGCCCTTTCTATACTCTGAGATGCTTTTTATTTGTTGTTTAGGATGTTAATGTTCAGCAGTGTTCTTCAAAGGGTCCCTTCAGCAGTCCTAGTCCATGTAAAACTTGGTTTGTTTCTGTACGTGGATTAAATCTAGCTTTTGAAATAATACAGCTGGTCAGGATTTTATACTAAGTGAGACTGAGACATGTGATGAGATGTATAATACAGGTTCATGGAGACTGTTTGGACTGTATCCCATTTCTTAATGTTCATGTTTGCATGCTCTGTGACACAAACAAGTTCCCCAAAGTGCACTGCAGTTTATAATAAACAGCCTGTGAATCTTATTAGTCTTCTTTGTCCCTCTAATTCAGTCCCATAAAAAGTTATTTTCATGTATATAAAACTGGGAACATTACTTGGTTGCCTGTTCTAGCCTATGTGTCAGTTCTAGCCCTAGATTTAACTGTTGACGTAATATTTATGTCCTAATATGCAATAGTCTGTTGTGTCTTTGTCTGATGTTGGTAGCATTTCTAGAGCTCAGTTCATTTCAGCTTGGTTATTGTACCCTGAATTAAGCTTTTGCTGTGTAGTCAGCAGTTATCTACTCTGGCTCTAGATCACATATGACCCTGACCTGGCAAACTGCCGTAACATTCCCAGACTAGCCTGCGTTTGTGAAAGTGGCTGCGAGTAAAGTGCAGGTCCGGGACCAACTCTACTTGAGTATGTTCACTGAATCTTGGCTGGTTCTAAATCAACAAGTCTGAAATAGTCTGTCACAGTAAGGGTAAAGTTTCAGGGCCAGTTTAGGTTGTTAGCTGTTTCAGACTGAAATCTGTACGAATGGGGGATCCTGGATCAGCACTTCTGTTCCAAGTTTCTTATAAAGACAGCTCTTGATGTAACTTACCAGTCCCAGCCTGAGGACTTGTGTTCGCTTCTGCTCTTTTGCCCTCCACTCCTCTTCTGTTCTCTCCTCCTCATTCCTTCATCTGGACCCCAGCTGCTCTTAAAGGCTGCATGCAAGGTCTTCTGGGTAAACTGTGATGTCAGCACAGCAGATACCAAAGCATATTGAGAAAAATTCTGGCCAAAAAGGCAGGGATTATTTACGCTACAGACAATTGAAGTCATACCCCTAGTTCAGTGACTGTTTTTCTTTCCCTGTAAGTGGTTCAATGTGCAAAGATCAAATACCTGCTTGACCTTAAACTCCTGTTTGAATCTCTCTCTCTCTGTCTCAGGTGTAGATCTTATTCTCCAGCTGGGCCTGTCCAATCGCAGAGATGCCACACACTCTTCCTGGGTGACCCCCTCCACGTCCTCCCCACCCCTTGTTCCCTCCCTACCATCTCTTTCCATCCTGCCCACTGGGATCGGGGTAACTCTGGGGCGAGACACCCTCATTGAGGCCCCTGTGGTGGGTCTCCTTCCGGCAGGCGTGGAGAAGGAATTCTCCATTGTGGTGAGCGTCAGCTCCCAGCAAGTCAGGAATGCCTTTTTGTTCAGCGTGCGGGACAGCGCTGACCGGCTGCAGTTTGGCCTGCAACTGCTGCCTGGCCGGGTGGTGGTGTACACGGGTGAGAAGGCATCTGTCTACTTTGGCTTCGAGGCGCAGGACGGGCAATGGCACTCGTTCGCAGTTGCGGTACGCCCACGTTCTGTGTCATTCTATGCCCACTGCGGGGGCTTACAGTACAGTGAAGAGACCCTCACCAGGCCACGAACCATGGGCTTGGACGGCTGGGTGACCTTGGGGAGGATGAGCTCCAGAGCGCCGCAGTTTGAAGGTTCTCTGTGCCAATTTGAGATCTATCCGTCAGCGCAGGTCGCGACGCATTACTGCGACTATGTTAAAAAACACTGCAGACTGGCAGACACTTTCCGATCGCACTTGACAAGCACAATGTCCCTGTTACGCTCAGTGTCCCCCTCTGTAGGGTCCCCTGTAACCACCCCCATTGCTTCTCCTGCCCCTTCAGAAACACATACTCAGAACTTAGCAGAGGTCACCAGCTCCACTCTTGGGAACCCTTTAGGGCAGTTTCGCTCTACAAGTGCTTCCTTTTGGGATGCACTGAGCAACAGCATCGTTAGACGTGTTAGTCCATCTCCAAGTCCACTCAGCCCACTGCAATCTCGTGATCTTACACCAAGGACTACCACCAGCACCCTTCCACATGAGGGGGCACTTCTAAGGGAGAACGACACAGAGGACCAGCGGCCGCTGGGAAGGCCCCGTGCTACTCGGGCTACCCCAGACTTGATCTCTTTAGACAGGCAGAGCCAGTTGAAAGAGTCCCTGAGGAATGGCGGCAGCACGCAGCAGCCCAGCGACGATCTAATGGAGACCCAGCTGAAAGTGAATGGTGCGACCTTGTACAGGCAACACAGTGACCACAATCAGCTAGAGCAATCCAAGGAGGATGATGAGGAACGGCTGTATGACACAGGAGACTCGGAGGGATACGGATACGAGTATGGATTAGAGGAAGGAGACTATTTCTTAGAATATGACAGCTTTGATGGTCTGAAAGGGGATCCAGGTCCACCGGTGAGTGTCTCATTCTTTATCTGACAGCTTATGTGTTGTGTGAGTTGAAGCAGCAATTTCCAAAGCTCAGGACTGTGCCACAGCAAGCTGGAGCAAAGGCCTGCATGAGAAATTAGCCAAATTACAATGCATAAGTATCCAAGCTAATTTATCGCCATTAGAGGTTCTTTGAGTGCTTTATGCACTTGGCTGTGTTTCTAAGAGCTTCGCTGAGTGAATCGGGGGGAAGGATGGAAATGTTTTGGCAGCTGTAGGTGCTGATTTAAGAAGCAAGTCGGTCTTGTCCAAGCGTCTTTCCTTTTTGCTCCTGGAGCAACAGGTGGTTAAAATAACACGATTTTCCTTGTGAAACACTGCCAGTGATTTTGGAAGACTCGTTTATATTTGTGCTGCACATCGTTAAACTGGCACCTAAATTCCTTGCTAACCAGAATTAGGAAAAATCAGTTTTCACTAAAAGAGACAGGAGGGATAGTGAGAACATTCAAGAAAAATAAGTAAATCTCATTCTGCTGTCTTTTAAATTGCTACCGATGTGTGCTTTGTATGTCTGTGAAGAGTCTACGGTAAGTTGGTATTGATAATAATATCATATTAATTGCAAAACAGTAAAGCGTATTACTTTCAGAACCGAAATGGTCTTTTAAAATCACACAATAATGAGTTTTTCTTCTCCCACAAGCCCTTACCCAAGAACAACTTTCACAAGACACTCTTTTGTAGACTGAAACAAGGCATGCTTTACTGTGCTGGTTCTATATATAGCAAAGGAAACCAAATAAACCCATGATGTTGTGTTATCGTTGGACTGTGCTAGTTTACTTGTGTGTATTCTGGGTTACTTGGACCAGAGGTCAGTGAGATACAGCAAGGCCCGATTCCAGAGTAGACTCCATCGCTCTGCTAGCATTAGAGATAATCGGCCAACGACAGCCAAGAACTGGGTGATCCCAAGGGCCTGCAATAGGAACATGATGTTGCTCTTGTAATAGAAACACTCCTCATGATGTTCTGTTCATTTTGTAGGCCTCACTGATCAGAATAATAAGCGGTAGGTGCTGAAACAGGAGGTGACAGTTATGTTAATGTGTTTAGTGTGAGGGGATCTGCTGGATGTGAGATGAGGAGTTGTGTTTTTGTTGGACTTTACCCTAATCACGCTCTGCTGGCACTGCATGGTGCATTCCACTCTTCGCTAAACTGATCTCATCAGGCGCAACAGTCCAGTCGCGTTCATCTTTTTAATTTAACCTCCTTCGTATTGACCTAAATACCTTTTATGTTGTGTTTACGCTTGCAGTGCAGGTGTTTGTGGATTTAAAAGCTTAGCTGTTGGGCTGATTAGATGAAACTTGCAAACAAGATCATTAAATCATTGCTTTTGGAACAAAACCTCATATCTCCAAGAGTAACTTTTCAGGAGAAAAAAGTCGTTCACTTATAATCAGGGCTGGCTGAATAATTTGGTGTTCGTTTCTCTGTTTATTTAGTATTCAGTGGTCTTTTTTATCAAACCACCTAATTTTGGCCTAAACAGTTGTGGTTAATATATGGAAAATGTTAAAAACTGAATAAATTATTTTTTTTTCTAATTGAATACACTAGAAATTTAGGTTGTAGTTATGTTATAACTGAAGTTTGGGTGGAGGAACATGCCTGAAACTCCTCCTTTTTCCAATCTAATGCCCTATAAGTTCACATCCTCACCTTCCGTTCCTGTGACGAAGGGTTTGCAATCCCACCACCACCCCATCTCCTCCCTGTTCCTCAGTCCTACGTCAGTCCTGCTGGCCTTCTAGCTACAGGCAAAAGCTGCCCAGAGCTCCAGCATTAGTTCTCAGAGTTCTCCCCCCAGTCAGTTTTCCTTCTTACCACCACCATGTTGAAGGCATGGTCTGAACTCACAAACTAATTTTGAATAAGAAACGGAACACTGGCCATCATGGGAGCTCCCAGGTTGAGGTGTCTGGCATGGGGGTGAAGTTCAAGCCTAGCTGCTTCTAGAGCGGTCGGTCATCCGAGCCTGTAGCTCCAAAAGCTCCTCAGTCCTCCCGTCCACTCTTTGTAGCTCAGCTATGACTAAACTTAATATGGCCTGTGTGTCGCCTGCACTGCTGCTGTCCACAACAAGGAAACGACAGACTAGCCAAATAAAATAACATGATAAAGTAAAGAAACTATAATGAGCTAAAACTAAAACGGTGATGATGATAAAAAACGATAACTCTAATTCGTTACACCCTCAGGGTCTAACATGACTCTTAAAAGCTGTGAAAAGAAAATGCTCAGTATTGGAAAAATATATATATATAGACATACGGCACGTGAGCAGCTGGGATTCTGCCTCAGGGTCGCAGCTAGAAATTTGGCCAGGGAAGCCCCAATGACTGTATATGGGTGGGAGACCGCTAGGGAAAAAATAGCATTAGTGTTAAAATGTAGGACTAGTAGCTTCGAGTCATGTGCAAAATACATGTTTTGTTGGTTTAAAAATATAAAATACATGTAAAATACATTTGTAGTCATATATAGATTTATGTGTCACGTTCAGTGCGTCATGGCCTTTAGACTGAAAGCCGAAATCAAACGTTCTGTGGTGCGTGGAGCTCTTGGCCATCGCTTAGCTGCCATCATGCTTAGTTTTTTTCTCTCTGATGTCCCCTTTTTCTATCAGCGCCACCTATTGGTGAGCTCCCATTCCACCAATCAGTGAACTCTCTAAAATATAAACACAAGGAAATTTGACACATCACAATTTTGAAATACTGTCATCACTTTTAAAACCATGTTGTACTTTTTCTGTCTCTGATGTCCCCTTTTTCTATCAGCGCCCCCTATTGGTGAGCTCTCATTCCACCAATCAGTGACCAATCAGTGAACTCTCTAAAATATAAATAGGTGTCAAATAGCATTAGTATTAAAATGACCCAACTAAAATAAAAAGTGATGCGTTTTTTTCTGTGCATACCTAAATCTGAGTTATTACCAAAAGTAAACTGAAAGACAAAACTGTTAATGTTATGCTTTCTAGTAATTTATGAGGAAATGATATAACTGAATAGATAAAATTAAATAAAATCACTTTTCAGTGCGATGTCAAACTTAAGATAAAAACATTTCATATAGATAAGCTGCAGATAGGCTGTGCTTCATTCTAGGGGGGCACTGGTCACTCTGGTCACTCCCTGGCTACGCCTCTGTTCTGCCTGACTTTTAGTAGAGTACTCATTTGGAAATACCAACAAGTATTCAAAGCCAGTGAAACGCTGTTGGGGACAGCCCTACTCATAATGGATGATAGGCAAAAAAAACTGTTTCCAGTTGAAGTTGATCCGTTTTTGCTGGTCCATTCGTTCTGAAATGTCCACACGACGTGTGAACGAACAACTGGTGTTTTTACGTTTAACATCGGCAGCTCATTTACTCGGCCACATGCTCAGAGAAATAGCCGAGTTGCCGTATCACTTATCGCTTATGAATCTCTGAAAATGAGTGAATTAATCTCGTAGTCCATCCGTTGGGCTCTGAGCGCGTTTGCTGTCTAAGACTTTCCACAGCGCTGGCTGTGTGTGTTTGTTTGTGTGTGTAGCAGTGAGATTGAGGAACACACAGCTGGCTCGGAAACATTCTTTGTTTTCTGTTCTGTTGGATAACCTCCTTTCCAGATGTGTGTCTATAAACTCCTTTCCAGTTTACACACACACACACATCCACACACACACATGCCAACACACATAAACACTACAGTGCAGAAGAAGGGCAGGATGAGTTGGGCAGTGTGATCAAAATAGAAACGAATATTCGACGTAAATAAGCATTCAGCAATAATCAGTGCGTCCCTATTGTTAAAGAAGTACTAAAATAGGGTTTGGTTTATAGGCTAATCTTATAAATGTAATGTAATGCTTCTTTAATAGCACCTTTACTTGCACTGTGTGTGTTAATGACCCCTGACCTTGATCAGTGCCAAGTAAATTGAGCTCCCAACTTATGTTGCTTTATTAAACAGTGAAATTCTGATGCGTATTGATTGCCATTCAGTTATGGTGAATAGCTGGACTGGACTGATTAAAAAGAGTGTTGGAAACATCACGTAGTCGTGTAGTAGTAGAATAAATATCAGTGAAACCAGCATGTTTTGTAGTCATATGTAGATTTATGTGTTGTTTATTCGTGTCACGTTCAGTGCGTCCTGGCCTTTAGACTGAAAGCCGAAATCAAAAGTTCTGTGGTGCATGGAGCTCTTAGCCGTCGCTTGGCTGCTATCATGCTTAGTTTTGCTGTCTCTGATCTTTCCCCACTTTCTATCAGCGCCACCTATTGGTGAGCTCCCATTCCACCAATCAGTGAACTCTCTAAAAAATATAGGTGGAAATTTGACACATCGCAATTTTGAAATACCGTCATCACTTTTAAATACCATGTTAGAGTTTTTCTGTCTCTGATTTTTCCCCTCTTTTTCTATCAGCGCCACCTATTGGTGAGCTCCCATTCCAGCAGACAGTGGTCAATCAGTGAACACAAATCAATGAACTCTCTAAAATCTAAATAGGTGAAAATTTGACGCCTCGTAATTTTAAAATACCGTCAGCACTTTTTAAAAACCATGTTAGACCTTTTTACGATTGTACCACTCAGCCCTACTAATAAGTGGTCTTAGCCCTACTTGCTCCAAGAGATGTGCAGATGTGCTCTGTGTACTAATGAATAATGAAATCATAGAAGCAGCGGTAGCCTGGGTTACAAAGCAGGAATTTGTCAGCAGCTGAATCCGACCAAAAACCTTCTCATAATTTCTGCTAATCAATCCAAACACAGTATCAAATCCACATGGCTAAATCACCAAACTCTGTGCCCAGAATTGACATGCAGTCACGTATTTTTGGATATTAGAGTATTTAAAAGGTCATCTGCATACTTTTAGGGGCCGTTAAAGTTCCATTGTTGTTGTTAATGTGCTTTGCACTTGTCTTCTATCTGGGCTCTGTTAAACACATTGACAATTTCTCAGGCTCCTTTGGAAGTGGAACATTTTAAAGAGCTGCTATAAAAGGCTGTTTGTTATAAATGAATCAGCTTTATTTAACAAGAGAAGCTTTGGCTGTGTGTCACTGGCTTTATTCTGAAGCCAAGCGTGTGGCTAATGACTGACTTGCTAATGCACAGTTAATGGGATGGTTTATGGCCTATTTTTGTGGTGGCGTGGGCTGTGCAGAGTGGATATTGTTTGGAAGAAGCCATTGGTGTTCTTGGTTTTGTCACCAAACAGTTGTGTTTTTGTCTTATTTACATGACGTGATTGAAAGATGGAAATACAAATAGTGCATGCTGAAATAGAGCATCCCAAAAAATAAAAAGCTATGAGAACATCGCTTAAAAAGATGGCCTTCTCTGTTCTCAGCACAGTGAGATACTAATATCGTATTAAGATGCGGTAAAAAGTAAAAAACAGTGCATTAATTTTTTTTTCAGCTGATTCTGTTTTAGTTTAACAGCTGTGCTGGCTGAAGTGATTTCTGCATTTTGACACTGTTGGTCTAAAGTGCTCAGCTAAGCTACAAGGTTATCAGGGCTGCTAATGCACACAGACTAGGTTGAGTGTTTTTAATTTTTCTCCAAGTTTTAGCCTCCCGTCCACACTTCACGCTCCCGTTCACTGAGACTTATTATTAAAAGTCTGTTTTCAGTGTTTGAATTTGGACTAATAAAAACACATTCACTGAGCAACACCTGTAGACCTGCACATTCATGCAATTATCTAATCAGCCAATCGTGTGGCAGCAGTGCAGTGCGTAAAATCATGCAGATATGGACCAGCAGCTCCACATCAACCATGATAATGGGAAAAAAAATGTGATCTCAGTGGTTTCAACTATGGTATGATTGTTTGTGCCAGACAGGCAGGTTAGAGGATTTTTGTCACCTGGGATTTTCACGCACAACTCTCTGTGTACAGTAACCCAAATACACCTACGGTAACTATAGAGCCTAAGCAGATAGTTGTGGTGAGCAGAACAGCATCTTAGAATGCACAACACATCAAACACATCAAAACATTGAGGTGGATGGGCTACAACAGCAGAAGACCACGTTGCGTTCCATTTTGATCAAACAAGAACAGAAAGCTGAGGCTGCAGTGGGCACAGGCTGAGCAAAACTGGACAGTTGAAGACTGGAAAAACACGGCCTGGTCTGACAAATCTCGATTTCTGCTAAGACACACGGATGGATCAGAATTTGATGCCAACAGTATGAATCCATTCACCCAACCCAAGAGTCCAGGCTGGTAGAGGTGTAATAGTGTGGGGAATATTATCCTGGCACTGATATTTTAATGTTATTGTGATAAATTTTGGTATTGTGATCAACCAAACACTTTTCTGAGCATATTGTTGATAAAATCGATAAAAGACCGAACAGCTGCAAGTTTCATTACTTGAGCGTAATTAGTCCTGTTGAGCTGGATTTAGTGCATTGTGTGAGAAGAGCGAAATAGAAATCATTGCATTCATAGTTTTTCATTGTAGTTTTTAAATGTGTTACTGTTGGTGCATTTTGTCTGTGTGCCAAAATATATGTATTGTAGTACCGTGAAAATGTCTTTAAGTATTGCGATATAATATTTTTTGCCATAGACTTGTTAATAAACACGGTTTGTCTGCTGCATCCACAAATGGAAGTTAAGGCTGTACTATGCACAGCGGAAATCATATGTCAACAACATGTTGCTGACTTCTCTGAGCACAAGCTTATCGTCAAACGGAGTGATGCACAGTGGAGACGTGTATTGTGGTCTGTCAACCATCAGTCTTTAAGATTGTTTATGGAAGTAATGGACGTCATGTTCCCTGGGCCAAAAAGGAAAAGGACCATCCAGATTGTTACCAGTGTAAAGTGCAAAAACCACTGTCATGCTGTCAGGTGGTTTTAGTGCCCGTGGTGTGTGTAACTTGTGAAGACACCATTAACACTGAAAGATATGTACACATTTTGGAGCAACATATGCTTAAGCAATAGAACACGAGAGGGAGTGTGTAATCGCAAAATAACATCATGACTGTGATGATCTATGGCAAATCACATCGGTGATGTTATTCGCGATAATACACGACCTCAAGTGTTCTATTGCTTTTATACAACAGTTAAATAAATAAAGTAAGAAATTAATAAACTGGGCCGTGAACGCGGCATTTAATGTTTTAATGTTCGCAGTTCTTTTACACCAAATTATAGTTCCTTAACAAGCAGCTTGTAGTTACGTCAGAGTAACGAACTCCGCTCACTCACTGTTCAGCCGGCAGTTTGTTCTCCAGCTCCTTACACTAAATTCCCAAACTGTCATCACCACTGAGCAGCTTTCCAGCCGGCAGCTGTGACAGAAGAACAGCTAAACAACCTGGAATCAACCCGAAATGAACTGAATATCATTCGCCAACCGCATAGTCTGATCTTCAGAGTCTGACCAAATCAGACTGAGCCATAAAACTGCCGCAATATCAAGTTCAGCTCAGTTTTGTCAGTTTTTGCCAGATCAGTATTAATGTTGTTTTGTTCCAGTCAGTCTGTAAAGCATCTTACAGCCCATTTAGTTTGGCGAATGGTATTGGGTTCATTTCTGGCTGATTCCAGGTTGTTTAGCTGTTCTTCTGTCTCAGCTGCCGACTGAAAAGCTGCTCAGTGGTGATGACAGTTTGGGAATTTAGTGACGTCTCATCTTCAGAGTCTGACCAAATCGGCTGTCGGTCAAATGTGATCTTAAAAGTGTCCATTTTCTGTTTGTGGCAAAGTAAGAAGTAAAAACGTTCAAATGGCTCGAGCGTCTCCTACAACTGTCAAAGCCGTTGCTTAGCAACGACGTCTCAGTGGAGTGATACAGTGTTTGTGAAAAAATGATGATGTTATGGCAAAATAACAGCACATTTAGAACGCCTCACAACCAATCAGCTTGTGTGGCCGGAACTAACTGTTGTATAATTCCCTTTAGACAATGTTTTTTCAGGGACGTCCATGTTAACTTCAAAATGACAACAGAAAGCCACATTCTGCTTGTGTTACAACGGCTTGGTTGCATAATAAACCGCTGTGGGACGTGTTCAAGGTACCAAATTTAAAATAAACATGTATTTAGAAAACAATACAGTTTATAAGGTAAAACATCAAAATATAATTTTTTGTACCATTTTCAATTTAACACAGGTCAAACAGAATTTACTAAACACTTAAAACTTGCATTAAACTGTATTTCACCTGCGCCAGACAGTGTAAAGCATTTGTTTTTATGTGTGTTTCAAATGCTATCGCAGGTTTTTTTTTAAAATTGAGGTTTGTAGACGAGGTAGTTGCTGTTCTGTAATTTTTATGAGTAGTTATAATAGAAGCAGTACTGTTAGGTCTAGTATGGCTGTTTGGTCTGTAATAAAACGGCCTTTAATTATTATTTCAATATTATTATTTCAGTAGTTTATTCTTTATAAAAACAAGCTGTTGCTTGCAGGTAATACACCAGAAAATGCTTCAGTCTTGTTCTGCGAGCGAGTGGGTAAAAAGACAGCGTTCCTGCTGAGCTGCTTGCACTCTGACCTGGAGCATGTGGTGGGATGTGCGCTCCAGGCTCTGTCTCCTTGCTGGTGCTCTGAGCAGAAGAAACGGATAGAGCAGGCTGGGAGGAATCGCGAATGAACGCAGAGAGGTGGAATTGCTTAGGCCGGCTCAACTAGCTGCAGGTTGCATCTTGCATTGGACATAATTTCCATGCAACTTACAAAGTTACCCAAAGCCTCTTAAAAATAAACACATGCAGTGAATGTGATTTTTCCACTAATATGCAGGATTTATGTTTCAGTTAGCTTGCTAGGTAAGGTAGCTGGTTGCCAGTAAATAAGCAGCGTTCCGCTACACCGTACTCGCGCTTGTTTGTTGTTCTGGCTTAGGTGATTGAAGTCAGAATGACCTCCTTGCCAGCTGTTCAAGACACCATGCGATTTTGTTTTCTTGCTCATGGTGTCAGTTGGTTGAAATGATCTCATCTGACATACATTTTGATGAGCTGCATCACAAAACCTCTTTCACAAAGTTTAGAGGTTGTGATTAATTACACTTTTAAAAAGATTCCTCAGGGGTTCTTTAGTGAGGAAAATGGTTCCGTATAGAACCATTTTTTTTTTACTAAAGAACCCTTGAAGAACCATCATTTTTTTAAGTGTGTATGAAAACAGTGCAGTACAGGGGGCTTTACACTGTCCGGCGCAGGTGAAATACAGTTTCATGTAAGTTTTAAGCTGATAAAGTTGTGCAGAAGTTTCACCATGTAGGCACAGAGTGAAGCAGGCATGATGGGTCGTGGACAGATTTGCTCCTGTGGGGGTTAGAAACACAGCCTTGGTTCAGACAACATGAGGTTTGATTTACTCAGTGGATCTGAGGTCTACAATAGTGGGCCTGGGGGGCACCCCAAACAGCCTGTTGTAGACTAGAAGAAAAGCTCTTTGACTAACCACTGTTCTGTTCCTCTGTGTTTCATTCCTTCTTATGATCCTCTCTCTTGCTCGCTTCTTCACTTTGTTTCTTTGTTTTTCTCTCTGTTTTGCAGGGTCCTCCAGGTCCTCCCGGTCTCCCTGGGCCACCAGGAAAGAGAGGGCCACGGGTAGGTGCTCTGTTTGTTCCTCATTTTGGGTTGTGCTGTCATGTTCGTATCTCATGGACCTGTATTATGTTCAGGGTTTGACTGATCTGGAACATTTTTTGACCAGTACTGATTCTGAGGGGTTAATAATTCTGGACTCACGTGTATTACAGCATTGGGAATGAGTGGGAATGGGAATGAGTGATACGGAAAGGGAGGAAGAAAGAGAGAAAAAAAGGAGTGAGGAAGGAAAAGACACAAAAGGAGTATGAAAAGAAACAGGTGATAAAGAGGAAAAGAATAGACAAAGGAGAGAAAAAGAGAGAGAAGGGGGGAGAGAGAGGCACTAACCTGCCCTGGAACTGTTTTCATCACTTCTCTTCTGTAATATGATCTTTGCTGACTGCCATATCAGTTATTAATAGTCCAAAAACTGAAAAACGGCAACAATGCTGAGAATCCACCACCCAAACAGTACCTGCTCTGTGAGGGTCCATGGGGGTCCTGACCACTGTAGAACAGGGTAAAAGGGGGCTAACAAAGTGCACCTATATAGTAAGTGGAGCTGATAAAATGGACAGTGAGCCTGGAAACAAGGAGGAGGTCAGAATGTTATGCCTGATCAGTGTGGGGTGTGTGTGTGTGTATATGCACAGTTTGTGTTAGCCCTTCATAAAAGTCAGTTTATGACCACAGAATAGGGGTTATGTAGACTACTGGTGTAGGCAGCTGTTGTCTAGCTGTGCTGGAGTCTAAGTCTAATCTGAAATACAGTCTCGTAAGCCAGACCGTGTAGGTTTGAAGAACTGCCTCCTTTAACAGAAAGGGGCCATTTGACGGACGTGCAGAACAACCAACCACAGCGTTTAGGGGCAGGACAGTACAGACCTGCATGTACCAAAGTGGTATGCAGGTTAACACGAGGACATATAAGACTAAGATATTAGAAAAATGAGAGATAATTAATGAAAAACAAAACTACAAAGAATGATGTGTAGCTCTGCCACGAGTTTCTTCTGTTTATGTTAAGTGTGTCAAATGAGAATTGACAATAATATCAGCCAGTAAAGCACTGTTTAACTACAGCTGTGGTGGTCCTGTGGTGGGCTGATAAACAGATGGGAGACAGTCTGTAACCGTGTGCACAATGTGCACCTATATGTTAGGTGTTTCTGATAAAATGGCCCATGATTGCAGGTACAAGTTAAGCTTATCTAGTAAGGTGGAAACACAATGTATGTAAATGTACGTGTCAGAGTCTCTGTACCTATCAGTGATATTTGTTTGTTAATATTTTTGTGCATGCATGTGTTTGGTGTGTACATTCTTTCAGTCCTACTGTTTAAACCTCCCCCCCTTCTCTCCTACACCCAGACCCCCTGTATGTCATGGTCTGAGGAAAGCTGTTTGAAGATAAGATCAGTGAAGGCTTTTCTCTGAGAGAGGTTAATGTCATATGGATGAGTAATCATCCATGTGTTTGTTCTCTCTCTCTCTCTTTCCTGCAGGGTCCTCCTGGTCCTCATGGGAATCCCGGCCCACCTGGATTACCTGGCCCCAAGGTGAGCCCACTCAACCGCCCGTTTGGCATGCAAGCTATGTTTTAGAGAAGTTTCAGTGTCAGAAACCACAAATTACTGAACTACTGAAACACGGTTTGAGACAAGTATGTGATGATTTAGACATCCAGTGTACACAATACTGATCAGTATACAGACACTTTTGTTACCTGTTATCTACATTAGTCTCGTAGCTCCAGTGCTAACTGACTAAATTTGGGGGAAGGGGGAAAATTATCAATTCGTCCACCACCCAGATAATATCTGCACAGCGGTGGTCTTAGGGTGGTCCCTTTTCTTCGATGGATGGGGTAGAGAGGGGCTGATGCATTGTCCAGAATAATAAGGGCTACAGTCTGGAACCTACAAAGTGTATTTATATGGCAGGTGATTCTGATTGAAGGACCAGCGAGTGTAGATATGGCTGAACAGTAGGTCTAGCTAATGAACTAGTAACCTACGAGCGTACGTCTCGGCTGATTGACTGTATTTAAGGTATCAGGTAAATTATGTAGATTTGGCTGAACCATCCCTTTAAGAGTCTGAAGAGCAGTAAAGTGCTAGTTGTGTTGAAGAGTGCTCTGACACGCTGCTGCACTGTAATCAGGAACCTGTTAAAGAGGAGAGAGTTTATGTTTCTGTGCACATACATGCTTGTGTGTGTGTGTGTGTGTGTGTGTGTGTGTGTGTGTGTACTGGCGCTCACATATCTGGAACGTGTGTGTGTGTGTGTGTGTGTGTGTGCTCAGACGCGTGCATACATGTGCATGCATATGTCTGAGTTTGTGAGTCAGAACATGGAAAAATGTAAAACACCTGGTTAGGGAGAGAGAGAGAGAGAGAGAGAGAGAGACCTACAGACAAAGAAAGCAAGAGAGACAGACAGAGAGAAACAGAGGGCTAGATAGACAAAGAGAGGGACAGACAGAGAGGGGAGAGAGACAGACATGGAGTGAGAGATAGAGAGACGAGGAGAGAGAGAGAGACAGGCGTAGGCAGATAGTAGTCAGAGAGAGAGCGAAGTACAGATAGAGAAAGAGAGGAAGAGAGGAGAGAGAGATGGGGGTAGAGAGACAGAGAGAGAGAGGGGAGACAGATGGTGGAGAGAGAGAGAGAGAGAGAGAGAGAGAGCGCCGAGAGGTGTATGTAGTGTTTTTAATCTTCAGAGTACTGTGATGTGGAGAAGGTCTGCTGGGCAGATGCGCTGAATCTGCTCTACTGTCTGACCGACACACTGTTTGTGTTGTATCATACAGAATGTCTGAAGAGTTAAACATTGTGAGTGTTGTGTTCTTTATGTGTCTTTTAGGTCTATAAAGTTTAGGGTAGCCGCTTATTTGACAGTTGCGAACTACAGTTTGATCAGTCAGTAAAGCGTGATTGGTCACACTGACCTACATGATTCACTCCTTAAAATCTGTATTGTTGTAAAAGTGGCGTTATTGGTTGGGCCTAGATCTCACAACTCTAATGGCAATGACTACAGCACTGTTTGGACCGTCCCCTGAAGAGTTCCCAGTCTTCCCACAGCAGCTTTCTCTGATTCACCCACTTGAACCTCAGCCACAGCAGCCTCCACCGCACATTAACTCAGTCTGTGAATAAACATGCACTACTTTTTCAGAGATCAGCAGGAGGAGGAGGACTTCTATCTTTAAAAGCCGTTAACAGGTCAAAGCCAACAGAATTGCTTTAGTCACTGACCTACATTCACCCCATTAACTTGGTTCTACATCGTCTCATCCAGCACCCCACATCGTCAAACCAGCAGAAAGTGGAAACAAACAGCCAGGCTGTGATTTTAGTAGCACTTTTATAATCTTTAATCTCACTTTAATCATCTGTTGGTTTTACCCTTAAAAGTCTAGAGTTATTACTGCTGTACTACATAGATGTAATTACATGTAACATAATTAGTGGCATCAGCTCTGCTCTTCAGTCATTTTTGTTTCACTCTCAGAAAGACTTTTCTTTCTGCAACTTTTCCATCACATTCAGATCACAACATCTCCTCAGAATGTGCTTGTAGTCAGTAGTCAGCTGTAGTTTTTCACTGCTGAGCTGTGTTTGTACTCATACGCAGTAACCGGCGATGAGTTCATGTTTTGGCTTTCCTTCAGTAAGTGTATTAAACACTGCCCAGTAAAGCACCACAGTTAACAGCCACTGGACCTTTTTCCCTTTGCCAATTTTACATTGTTTTCCAATCTAAATGTCAGTGAGTCTAGCACAGCTCTCTAGCAGTGAGTGATTCCAGGAAGCTGTTTAAAATTCCCTCTTGTGCTCTCCAGTTTCACCCTCTAGCCACTTTCCGTCATCTGAAGCTATACGTTTTTGGAGAACATGGAGAAAATGCTTGGAATGATTCAGAGGCCTTGACAAGTCAGAATTCTGAAATGGATCCAGTTATGAATCAAATGAAGAAGGAAGAAGATCAAGGAAGCTCATGTTGGCTGATTTAAAGGAATATAAAGTGGGGATGCGAAAATGTAAACGATGTAGAAATTCAACACTAATACAACTGTATTAGTGTTACTGTGGAATTAAACACTTTACAAATGCAACAGAATGAATACAGTGCAGACATTTTAGTGCAGCAACCCAGCGTCGTCTAAACACTCTGCTCTTACAGAGCAATAAACACATCATCAAATATCAGTTTGAAATATCAGCCAAGCCTAATTATCAGTTTAGTGCTGAAAATGTTTTTTCAATTATCTGCCAATGGCAATATGATTCTAATATCACTGTGCATGTTGAAAGCTCACAGTGTAAAATACAGCTCCACTCTTCACACAGGGAGACCGACCATAGTTTGTTCTTTATTATTTAGAAAAGCCAATTTCCTTTGGTGAAAGATCCTAGTAGTGAGCAGAAAAGTGGCCATAGTTCAGATTTAGCAGAAAGTGATAGCTGATTGTAGAGGATATTAACTGTTATTAGTGGAATCCTGAGGGATATATTGAGTTTTGTATTACAGTGAGCAGCTGTAGCAGCTCAGCATGTTTGGCAGTTTCAGCTTGATGCAGATACAGACGGCTGAATGATCATGGGAACAAATCACTTTACAATATTTTAAGTTTTTGTAATAAATTTCGTGATATTTGAAAAACAAAAGTGTAGTCAAAAATGTACCCAGACAAACCATGACCAAATGGAGATACTCGCAATTGTAGAAGTGGAAAGGGTGTGTATAGAGGCTGTATACCATGTTATACCACGTGATTGTGGTATACCAACTAAGAACTCTGTCAAACAATTCAAATTACTAACTGCAAACGTAGAGTTCACATGAACATAAGAAGGTAATCGCATGACTTCCAGGGTGTGAACTTAATTTCCGGGTCTCAGTGAGAGTAACAGTGGCTGCATCTTCCATCTGATGAGTGTATGTATTTTGTATACAGTGTGTGGTTTAACATGATTGTAGCCTCTCATTCGTTCATATAGCTCATGGATTCTTGTTACAGTGGCTGTATTAACATGCAAAGATTTTTGCCAATCTGATTGAATTAATTCCGATTATAGATTAAGACTGAGGTGTTTATTCTCACTCTACTCAAAAATCTGATGAAAATCTCCGTTTACATGCTCACTACAAGTAATCTTTATTTTTATTTAACTTTATTTAATTCCGCGCATGCATAGAGAACCTCTCAATGTAGACGTTACCATGACAACCAGCATCACGTGAGTCTAGTCAGAGTGAGATGAGCAGCAGTGAGCAGTGCTTTTGTTTTTAACTGCTTTAAAATGATGTCAGACTCAGGAAAACGTCCTTCACATGTCCTTATTAAAGTAGGCCGAGAGGAAGACGTCGTGTTCTGAGACACATAAGCTGGACGTCCGTCCCACCGCTGTCTTTTAAAGATCAGAGCATAAACTTCGTCTCCTCTGCAGACCAGTTTCTGCTCCGCCATGTTGAACAGTATAAACTTTCACTATGACGTGAACAAACATGCGCAGAATGTACCTAAACTTTCCGATAGGGAATGTAATCAGATACAGGCTTTTACACGGATATTATTCTTCTATTTAACAGATTATTTACAGGATTACCCACCTCGTTCAATCAGATTGTATTCCAAATTGTATTCCGAATGGCCTCAATCGGACTACTCTATTCTGACTGAGGTGTATACATGGATGTATTCTGTTCTGATTGGGCTATTAGTCCGATTATTAACGGATAATTAGGCTGCATGTAAACGTGTATAGTGGAGGTTCTCGAGGGAAACTGAAGATTTACAGCTTACTGATACTTTTGTTAGTTTGCTGCTCATTGATTTATCCATAGTTCTCCCGTGAGCACTGCCTGCTGAAGGTGCATCGCTTTAAAAGCCATGTGAAAGTTGTATTTGAAAGAGGGGGCTGCAGTCACAGATTCTGTCATATCAAAATGCACTGGCCGGACCGTCCTCTGAACAGTCCCCATTCCCCTCACAGCAGATTTCTCTGATTCACCCACTTGAACCGCAGCCACAGCGGCTGCACCGCACATTAGCTCAATCTGTAGAATAAACCTGAACTACTTTTTCAAAAGTCAGCTGGGGGAGGACAATTTTTATCTTTAAAAGCCATTAACAGGTCAAAGCCAATAGTTAGCAAAGTTCTTTACAGAATAGCTTTAGTCACTGACCTTCTACTACAAACACAATTGTAATATGGATTCAGAGTTTAGAATCTGAACTTTCCTCAGAATTTGCTTCTAGTCAGTAGTCAGCTGTAGTTTTTTGATTTCCTCAGAAACTGATTTCAGAAAGCTGGGCTGGTAGATATGATTCAAAAGGTCAAACTAGGAAAATCCATAGACAATGTAAAAAATAGTCTGTTTAATTTATTGGGTCCTGTGAATTTCTTGATTCATCCAAACATCTAAAGAACGTCTCTGATTAGTCAGGATGCTCACAATACATGATTAAACACTTAGTAGTAGAAGCTTTTTTATGCATTGCAGCTTGTGATGTAAATATGGCAAAGACTGATGTTGACATAAAGATTAA